TCCTGCTGGTCATCCACCCGCTCCTCCTCTGCCCACTATCCCAGCGCCTGGCAGACAGTGAGTGCTCAGTCAGTGCTTCCCGAGTAGAAGCAGCCTGGATGCGGGTCAGAACCCCCAGGGAGCTCTGGGAAATGCAGGTTCCCAGGCCGGGCCCCAGACCTGTGGCCCAGGTCTCTGCGGCGGCCTGGGTCTGGGAGCCCCTCCACGGCCATCCTGCACAGAGGCCGAGACGCTCAGTGGAGAGAAGGGAGAGGGCAGCCCGGGGACCAACGCTCTGCACAGCCACCCGCTACGAGGACAAAGCTTCCCTGGACCGAGCGCCTTCGGCCCCGCAGCCCCATCCCACGTGACCAGGAGTGACCGCGCAGGGAGGGCGGGACGAGCGGCCATGTGGACACCGGTCACCTGGCGGAGGGTCACGAGCGATTAGAAGCAGCAGACGCAACGTGCAGATGGCGCAGGGTGAACAGTAAAAGCGGCAGCAATAGGAAAACGGGAGATTGATGACGTGACGCTGCTGACGTAGACTGGAAATGCACGCCGAGGGCTTGGCGGAGGCTCCTTAAAACACAGAAAGCCCTGATCGTAAGAAAACACCAGTAACGGAGACATCGGTAAAGTTAAGGGCATTTATAACTGTGTCAGAGCAGGCCATTAAAAGGTTGAAACGGCCACAGCAGAACGAGCGGCACCTCTACCCAGCGGGCGACTCCCGCAGGGACAGAGCGGATGAGACAGATCCCCGCGGACACACAGGCGGCCCCACTGAAAGCTGGGCCACGAAGAGCTCAGGCACGTCCCCAAGGCCACCGTGAGCGGCCAGGACCTCGCGTGTGGCATCCGGGCTCCACACCCGAAGTTACCCGGGAAATGCAGTTACACCGGACACTGCACATCCCGCCAGAGGGGACCCGTTAGAATTGCTGGTGCTCCTGGGGGGGTGTCAGGGGGCACGGCCCGCAGCCCTTTGGGGGTGCCTGCTTCCCCAAGACCCCTCTGCTCTTGGGTGAAGACCAAGAGCAGATGTGCACCAAGGGCTGTGTACAGACAAGTTCCTGGCAGCCGGACCAGACCCCTCTCAGAGGCCCCTCTGCGGGTCCAGCAGCTCAAAGGCTCTCGAGACCGAAGCCATGGATAAAAGGTGAGCGTGCAGAGGGTGCCAGAGGCCAGGTGGAAGAGGCCACCAAGACCCCACTTATGTGAAATTGGAGAAAGGGGTTTACCAAGACAGGAGTCGGAACCCTGGAAACTCTGGGACTCCAGGGCTGGGAGTTTTGACGGAGAAGGGGCGTGAGACCCTCTGGGGGGCAGGAAATGTTCTGTAGCTTAACGTGGGGTGGGTCGCCCCACACCCCCAGACACGCACGTGTGTGTTTTACAAAATCCACTGACTTGTCCAACCCAGACTCTGCCTGCTCGATGTGTGTGTGTCACACCTCTACGAAAATGAAAATGAATTCATGCACACCAAACAACACACGCTTCGTGAGAACATACCAACGAGGTGCACGTGGGCCCAGAAGAAGGGTTGGGGTTGTGGGAGGGGAAGGGAGTGGACTGGGGTTTGCATACACCATGGAGAACAAGCAATTCAGTTCTGTGCGCTCCCGAGACTGAGGGACAGAGACTGAGAGGAACCGTGGAAATAGAGGCACCAGACAGCGGAGGCAGAGTCGGGGCCCCGAGCACAGGCTGGAGACGGGTGTGGACTTGGCGGCAGCCCCGCACCTTCCTCGGGCCACAGCTGGTGGCCAAGCTGGTGACCAGCGCCAAGAAGGGAGTCCACGACGGTGACAAAGAGCACAAGACAGAGGCCCCGGCTCTGGGCCGTGGGGCTAGGGCTCCCCACACCCAGGGAGGCGCGCCTGGCGATCTGCACGTGCACGCGCACGCCCAAGCCAGGGAAGGGGCCACCCGGTTCTCCAGCTGAGAAGCCGCAGCCACCGGTCAGCGGCCCACACCCTGCTGTCTGAGAAGGAACCTTTCTTTGGTGAGTCACTCAGGCCACTGGTGACAACTGCTGGTCTGGGAGGGACCCCCAATTTGTGGAGTTTCAGGAACACAGTGGTTTGGAAGACTGCGCCCCACCGCCAAATTTGTACACTGAAGCCCTCACACCAGGACCTGTGCACGTGACCTGATCTGGGCCTTACTGGAGCAGGGCGGGCCCTAATGCGACACGACAGGTGTCCTTATGGAAGAGAAATGTGGAGACAGCTGCCCACGGCGGGACACTGTGGGAGGGTGAAGGCAGTGATGGGGCGCTGCATCTGCATGCAGACGGCCAGAAAGCACCCCGAGGCAAGCGAGGGGCCTGAAACAGAGCCGTCCTCAAGCTCTCGGGGTAACCAACTCCACGGGGCGTCTTGGTCTGCCTTGTGGCCTCCAGCCTGAGTGGCGGTCAGTGCCTGCTGTCCAAGCCTGTGGCGCTGTGTCACCGGCCCAGGCAGCCAGGACAGCAGTCCTCTGGGTCCTGCCGCCTCCTCCACGCCCTCCTCCCTGAAGGAGGAGGTGAAGGATGGTCTCCCCCCGCAGGGGGGCGACTTGAGCTGAAGCGTGCGCGACACCCAGGAGAGGACTTTGGCGGGGGTGTGGGATGACGGTGGGGCACCCCTGGTGGGGGTCAGACCACAGGGGACGGGGCCCCAGGAGGTGCAGGAGATGCCGTCACGGTGGAGTTAGCAGAGGTCTGTCACGAAGGATGCAGGGGCACTGATGTGTGATGCCAGTGCGTGTGCACGTGTGTGCCCACGTGCGCGTGTCCTGAGCAGACTGACGCTAAGGGGAGAGACAGGAGAGGCAGCAGCAGGGAAGCTGGTCCTCTGATGACCCCAGACCCCTCCCTTCTCCCTCCCCTCCCAGGCTTGCCGTGAACCTTCCTTAATTAATGCCTGTAAAACGCTTTCCGATGCTGGGAGAAGCTGCAGTTTTATAAATAAACAGACTTCTGAAGGTTGGAGCGCTGAGCCCCTTGGGGGAGAGAGCTGTGCTGTGCTGGGGAGGGAGGCCGAGGCCGGGGTCCTGGTCCACCGTGAACAAGGTGCCCCGTCCTGGGCCGGTCAGGACTCCGGTCTGGGCCTGTCTGCGCCGTGAAACAATAAGGTGGATCCTGACCTCATAGGTCCTCCCTCACCCTCCCCTTTGACCATCAGTGCCCTTGGCCAAGGTCACAGGGGGGTCTCAGGCTCAGCTCCGAAGGCGTTTGGGGGAAGCAGGCAGGGGCCACGTGGCTGGCCTGAGCGCGCGACAGTGAGCTGGCTGTGGGGACACTGGGCTCCCCGAGGGGCGGGAAAGGCACACAGCTTGCTCGGCATCCCTGATTGCGCCAACGCAGAGGCCACGTGGGATGGCAAAGCCCCGGGGTCCCTCAGAGAACCCTGTTCAGGGCGTGGAGGCAGAGACAGGGGTGGCCACTTCACACCCAGCACCACAGCCACCTTTGGCAGTGACCGTCCCTGGACTTACACCTTAACCCAAAAGGAAGAGCCCCAGAGGAGAGGAGAGCTGGCTGCCGGGGCTGGAAGAGGCCACGCTCAGTTCAAACCCTTCACCTGACAGACATTGTGGCCGTGCCTGCTCCGGTTCCCACGGCAGGGTCACGACCCAGCGGGCCTGCATCCCCCGTCAGGGCCCGGCTGGCTCTGGGCAGGGACGGCCCCAGCAGCCCCGGGCTCAGGGGTGCCGGGTCTGGAGAAGCAAAGCCCCCAGCGAGGCCTTGCTTCTGTCACCAAGTCTGACCACTGCGCTTGACCACCAGGGACCCTGACGTCCGGAGACGGCAAAGCGCC